CGAGGCTGGTGGGGGGGGGAAGGGACCCGGCTACTCACCCCACACCGACACGTGGAAGCATTGGCAGTTAACATTGCCTGATGTGTTCTCAAATTCGACCCGATAGACCCCACTGTCTGCCACGCTAACCCGGCTGAGCTGCAGGGAGAGGGAATCCCGCTGGAACTCAGCTCTCCCAGAATACGGACTCTTGCTGGGCAGGGTGACATCGCTCTTGTCAGCCGTCAGGATCAGTTGACTCTGTTCTCCCTCCAGCATCAATTTCCATTCGAGTTTTATCCACCCCGGCGGGGGCTTCTCCGGCAGCAGCTCCAGTGACCCGCTGGCAGACACGGCTTGTTCCCGGCACACCGAGGGTCCTACAGCGGCGTGGCGTGAGCAAGGAACCCCCGGCCCTGGGAGATGGTCCATGGCTGAGGAGGGGGCACGGTCCCCACCGCCACCACATCGGGGTCCCCCAGCTGGTGCAGCCCTGCTCTGTCTGGCCCTGGGGCCCTGGGCCAGCCCAGCCTGGTTCCCCATCACACCCCCACCCCCATCTGCACCATCCCAGGCTGGCTGGCTGTTGGTCTGCCTGTCCGCACCCACCGCGCTGGCCACACGTTGCAGATGCTCATGCAATATCCTCCGCCCTGCCCGGAGCAGGGATGGTTGCAGACCCTCTTATCTCAGCATCTGGTTCCTCATTTGTGCCCCAGCTCCTTCCTTGCCCATCCAGCCTGGGCAACGAGCAGGAATTTTACCCACTGGCCCTTTTTTTTTTATTCCCTCTCTGGAGTTTCTGTGCTTGCCTCCCTCTTCCCAGTGCAGCCCCGGATGTCGAGGGCTCTGGCAGAAGCGAGATAAAAAAAAAGCCCCTACAGCTTGCCTGGGTCGAGCGTGCACGGCAGCCTCACAGCTTTCTCGCTTGTGGTCAGGGCAGCGCCGGGGGCTGCCTCCGCCGGGGGGCATTGCCCGGCGCAGCCCCATGCAACCGCTCGTCTTGCAGCCCTGGGCAAAGCTGGGCTTGCACGGCCATCCAGGCAAGCGTCAGCCTCCGGGAGCTCGGCTTAGCCCACCCATCCTCCCAGCAGGGCTTCACCTCCCTGCAAGCGGTCGGAACGGCGAGCTCGGAGGGCACCTGCGGAGCCGCCAGCTTTGCTATCTCCGGGAAACCCCAAGCAGCTCCAGCTTAGACCTTGTCTTGGCAAAGCTGTAGGCATGAGGATGCCCACCCTCACCAGAGCCTGGGGTGCGGAGGAGACGTCCCTATGCTCAGCAGATGCAGGAATACGAGAGGCCGGAGCAAGCAAAGGCAGAAGCATCCTCCCCTGGGGAGAAGAAGGAGCAGGCTCGGGAGCAGGCTCTATTTATCAGTTCCCACCCTGATGGCTCCCACCTGCAGCTCATTCCAAAGGGGCCCTTCCCACCCTTCCTACTGCTAAACAGCCTGGGAAAAACAGGGATCATTGCTTATTCCTGCGCGCGCGGCGTCTCGTGCCGTCAGAAAGACGTGAGGGCACCTTGACGTCCTCATCCGAGGTCCTGGAGCAAGGAGGGTGGCGGGGCAGCGGGCGTGCAAAGGGAAAAACTGATGCAAAAATCCCCACCACCCCCTGCAGCCTGGAGGTGTGATGGTAACACACCACCCACAGCTGGCGCTGGGGCCAGGCCGGTGCAGGTTTTCTCTGCCAGGACCTGCAGGGAGGTTTTGCAGCTCAACCGAGCCCATGGTTGCCGCAGGTTGCTTCAAAGCAAGCGCGGGTGTCTTGGGGTGGCGAGAGAAGGGAAGGCGGAGGCGATGGTCTCCCCGAGCGCAGGGAAGGGTGGCACGATGGGGGATGCAGAGATGGGGCCAAGGGATGCTCCAGGCACCAAGCTGGCCCCCAAAACCTGAGTGTTTCGCCAGTGCGGAGGGTTCTGGTTTTAGGAAGAAGCCCCTCAGCTGCTACCAGCTCCACTGAAAT